AACCACTCACCTGCCTGCCTCATCGCTCCTAACCACTCTGCCTGACTGCCTCATTGCCCCTAACCCCTCTGCCTGCCTGCCTCATCGCCCCTAACTGCTCTCCTGCCTGCCTGATAACTCCTAACCACTCTGCCTGCCTACCTGATCACGCCTAACTGCCTCTGCCTGCCTGCTTGATTGTCCCTAACCACTCTGCCTGCCTGCCTGATCACACCTAACCACTCTGACTGCCTGCCTGATTGCCCCTAACCTCTCTGCCTGCCTGTCTGCCTGATCGCACCTAACCACTCTGACTGCCTGCCTGATCACCGCTAACTGCTCACCTGCCTACCTGATTGTCCCTAACCACCTCTGCCTCAGCCCCCGCTGCAGTGGCTTTGTCCAAAAGACGTCCAGAATGACATCCAGAAGGTCGTTCAGCTGTCCGGTCTAATTAGCATATTACGCTTTTATTATTATAGATAATTTTGCTTTTTATTCTCAGCAATGCCTTGAGTCCAGAGAGAATATTAAAATACATGAAAAATCATAGTACCTATTTTTAAAATATTCTTCAGACATTGTCCATTACCTACTTTTAGCATAAATGTGTTCATTTTTAGGTCTTTGTCAGCCTCGGGTGCCAGGGATAGTGGGAGCAGAGCCATTTTCAGCTAAGTTGCGCTACATGGGCCCCGAGGACCCGGAGTACACAAACCTTATCAGGCTCACGGTCATGATGCCACACACAGACGGTAGGTGACTTCAGTAAACAAAGTCATGGAAAGTTTATTACCAGGTTTATTTTACTGTATACTCTATTTAACTAAGCAGACAATAAGTGCTCAATTTGCAACTCGAGCTTCAAGCTTTTCTGTTTCTTTCAAATGTTTCTGCTTACTTTCTGCCCATTTAACATTCTGACATTTTAAGAATTCTCTAAAATTAGGTAAGTTTAACACATGTCGAAACACAATGGAATAAAATGTTGGTTAACATGCTAGCTATTATGAAATAGCACAAATATGTCTTCAAAACTTTTGATCTTGGACTTATAGTAAAGCATTTTGGTATCTCAAATGTTCACCTTCAACATGTATTTGCTATTTCATAGCTGTAGTTTTAGAAATCTCTCCCAATATTTATTGCAATAACTAAGACATTTCTTAGGTACTGAAATAAAATTAAGAATGCAACTAGCATTATTGTATTTTGTGTTCATTTTCTCTGGGTAGGGGAGTATGGCCAGAATTTGTGAGTCAATAATTTTACCTATACTTTATGAACATTTTTCTACATACAGAAGACATTTTCAAGTTGTATTCCATTCAATTCACTTTATACCTGAAGTAATTATTTGTTATTTCTCGGTTGCTAGTTATATTTTAAGTAGCTAAGAGAGATGAAACGTTAGATACTATCAGAAACTACAAGGTAAACTCCCCCACCCTTATAAAATGTTTTGTCTGTTTTTTATAAACCCAAATTTGTTCTGAGCAGGCAGATTAGATTGACAGGAATCTGTACCTCTTTACAACATAACATTGGTCCCACATTGGATCACTCTCTCTATAGGTTCATTTGGATATGTCACTCAGGGGTGCAAAGGGCAGAGGAAAAACCCATCAGGCAAAAACGGACCTACCACAGTGAGAGAATAAGGTGGAAGAGTCCAATAATATCTTAGTATTATTACAAAAATAGCTTTAATGTTATAGATCTCCTGAAAAATTCCCAAGACCCCAAGGGGTACTAAGACACTACTTTGACAATCACTGCTCTACAGTATTTTATGACTATCTTCTCAAGAGATAAAGAAATTAGAAAGTGTTCTAAGCCCTTCGCTGTTAGCAAACAAAATAGATCCAGAGACATGGACACATGCAACAGACTGGAGAGTCTCAAACAGAGGGAAAGGGAGGGGAGCATAGCGGGGGAGAGGCAGGAACAGATTAACCCAAGAACTTATATGCATATATGCATAACCCATGGACACTTAACAATAGTGCAGTGAAGGCTTTGGGAGGGATGGAGTGGGGAGGAGGGGGTAATTGTGGGAGGAAAAAAAGGAGATCTGTAATACTTTCAAGTATAAAGATAATTTTTTTTAAAAAAAGAATGGTAACAATGATTACAATTCCTTATAGGCATGCTCCCTGTGATCTCCACTAAAGAACTTTCCAACTTCGAGCTCACCCTCAGCCCTGATGGCACAAGAATTGGAAACCACAAGTGCTCAAATCTCCTGGATTATACTGAAGTAAAGACCCATCATGGTTTTTTGACTGATGCTAGAAAAAATCCAGAAATAGTTGGAGAGATGTATCCTTATCAGTACAGTTCATCTATCAGAGGTTCAAGTACCTTACGCTTCTACCGAAATCTGAACCTAGAGGCCTGTTTGTGGGAGTTTGTTAGCTACTATGACATGTCAGAACTTCTCACTGATTGTGGAGGCACTGTTGGAACAGATGGACAGGTATGAATTTTTAACATCTAAATGTTGGTCACTGATAAACCAGTTGGCTTGTTCAGTTACATAGATTTGGACTAAATCCCAAATCCAGTTTTCCATCTTGGTGATATAATTCATTAGGTATAAGAGGGACCAAATAATTGGCATGAATGGTATGAAAAGTCATGTCTATTTCTGGAACAATGTGTCAAAATATATCTATTTTTAACAACATTCTGAATCTGCTATGATATAATAAAAATCCAAATATTAATTAGTTTTCAAAATATACATCCTCTGACACACTTTTCTATCTTTTATTTATACAACCCAGATAGCTGTTCTAGTGAAGTCCTGCACTTACCTGCTTAAGACTTATCCTATTATATCTGGCCACTTCTCCAATGTATCAAGGACATTTTTAATGCAAATGTTGTCCTCTACTATATTCATCTCTCCAGCCAAATCTTACCATAAAATGCTCAGCTAAATTTACTATCCTTTCCTGGTGCCTTTTTTTAAAACCACAATTTCACTATTTAATTTGTAAGGTCAGTATTTTTTTCTTTTCATTACCACTGCTAGCTAGAAAACTCGTTGTTATGATTCGAAGTTGAGTTGCCTAGGGTTCTACTCTGCATTAGGTGAAAACTGGCAACTTGCAGGTTTCAGTTAAGTTTTGCCTGCCTGAGAGGCTTAAGTTACATAATACAGAATAAAAGAGTATGCAATTAAGAATTATCAAAACATCCAATTATTAACCAGTTTGTGTATGACTTTCTTCTGAAAAGATAGTTCTGCTTTTCCATTAGCTATAATAATAAAAGTGTAATATGCTAATTATACCGGACAACCGAACGACCTTTGGGACATCATTCCAGATGGCCTTCTGGACAAAGCCGCAGCAGTGGGGGCCGAAGCAGAGGCGGTTAGGGGCCATCAGGCAGGCAGGTGAGCAGTTAGGGGCAATCAGGCAGGCAGGCAAGCAGTTAGGGGCAATCAGGCAGGCAGGCAA